TTTTAAAAATATAAATTATAAAAAATTTTAATAAGCTAAGTGTTTAAGTAGTCTTAAATAAAGTTATTTATTATGCTCTTAAGTATATATATTTAAATTTTTATATTATTTAAATAAATATTTATGAAAAAAATTAAAAATTATAGTTTTTTTTGTAATGTACTATAAGTTATCAGTAAAAATTCTGAAAAAAATATATATTAAACTAAAGAACTTAAGCTATTTTTTGAGTTAAAAATAAAAAAATATTTGTTAGAAAAATTAAAAAACTTTTATATATAAGAAAAATCATATATTTTACTAATTATAATTAATAAAAAATTTAAGTATTATATTATTTTTGATTATTACTATATATAATATAAATAAGTTACTAATAAAAAATTCAAAGATTTTAAAAAAATATATAATCAAATAATTTATTAAAAGATTATATATTTAGCTTATATAAATTTAATAATAATAATATAATAATATAATAATATAAAATACTAATTATTTTCATAGAATTATTAAAATAATAAATAATAACTATTACTAATAAATTCTTTTAAATATATTTTTTTAATAATAAATTATATAATTTTAAATAATATTATATTTTAATAAAATAATAATTTTAAATATATTATAAATAATTATTTTAAGCTAATTATTAATTATTTAGTAAGAAGTAAATTTTTATTCTTATAATTTTCTAAAGATTAATATTAATAAAAAAGATTTATAAAAAAAGAAAAAAAATATAAAATAATATTGATATTAATTATTATATTTAATATAATTAAAGTATAAAAAGATTTTATAAGTAATAAATTTAATTTTTATAAAAGTTTTATATTAAAATTAATATTTTTTTAATAAAAATAATTAATATTTAAAAATTAATAATATTATTTATATAAATTAATAATTATTTATAATTAAATATAATAATATTAGATTATTTTTTATTAATATATTAAATAATATTAATTATTATATATTTTATTATTTATATATTTATCAGATTAAGATTATAAAATTAAAAATTAATAATATAATAATTTTTATTACTTATATTAAAAATTATTAATTATATAATTCTCATTTATATGTAATTTAATAAATATAAAAAGTTTTAAGATATTTTTTATTCTTTTTATCAAAAATATAATAATAAAAAAGATTTCTTAATATTTATTTTATTAAAATTTAAAGTTTTTAAAAATATAATAACTAATAAAAAATATAAGAATATTTATTAATTATAATTTTTAAATATTTACAAAGTTAATTTTTTATAATATAATAAAAAATTTTATAATATTTTAAATATAACTTGTTATTTTACAGATTTTAAAAAAAATAATTTTTTAATTTTTTTGTAAACTATTAATAAAAATTAGTCTATAATAATACAATAATACTAAGTTTCAATATATAACTTTTATGTGTTTTGTTATTAATTTCAAGTTTTTATAAATATAAGAAAATATATATTTTTTAAATTATAAAATAAATTACTAATAAAAATATATTTAATTTTTGAATATAATTAAATACCATTTATATATAGCAATATATAATCAATAAAAATATATTTTTATTAATAATTTATTATATATTTTTTTTTATAAAAATTCAAAAAAATATATTTACATTCTCTATTATAATTTATAAATCAATATTCTAATTGAAAATGACTAGAATAAAACAACATTTTATCATAAAAGTTATATGTTAAAACTTAGTATTATAGACTAATTATTTACAAAAGTCAAAAATTATTTTTTTCTTTTAAAATCTGTAAAATAATAATTTACATTTAAAATACCATAAAATTTTATTATATTATAGAATTTGACATTATAAACAAGGTTAATTATCATATAAAAGACTGTTATATTAATAAAAAAACTAACTTTACATTGTAAAATAATCAAAAATTATAATTAATAATTGATGAGTATTCTCATACTTTTTATCAGTCACTCTATTTTTAAAACGTTTAAAAAAACAGTTGATTCTAATAAGAAATCTTTTTTATTATGATACTTTTTTGGTTTCGTATGCTCAAAAAAAAGTTAGAGCATATTCATTACGTTGTCGATAAAAACGGGGAAAAACGACATGAATTATAGACGAACCAACATAATAATATGTCGACCTTTTATTTACTATTTGTAGCACAGTATTAGATGTTAATCATCTATTATTTTTGTTCATTGGAGCGAGGATCATGTGATTAATGATTTTCAAATGTAAGTGGTGCGGGCCACTGTATAATTTTTGCAGGTACAATCCGCGAATACAAATCTGATGGGGACAAAGTTAAAGCATATAACGCTTTCAAGAAGCACATAGAACTCGGTGATATACTCAGCTTCGGTATGGTCATTGTCTATGAAGTGGCAATAGTGCCCCAAAGAATATCACCGGGCTATCAGTTATCGATAATATCCACGGGATGTATAAAAGACCTAAGGCATTAGAAATGTGCAAAATACATAATTCCAAGTTTTCTTATCGCCATGTAGTTCACCCATTTGCGTTATCATCCCAACCTCATGCCTTGTTAATAATCTTGACTAAACTTGCAAATATAGTCTCTTGTAAGAGCATTCACCGCTCACGAGCAAATCTAAAACAATCGTTTTGATAAGACAATATACCCCTACAATATATTACCGGAAATCCTAAAAACGAATCTGCCACTTTGAAATCCAATATCTCAAAATTCAATGATCCAATTTAAATGAAAATACTCCATTAAATTTGTCGCGACTCCACGAATCTTATGATAATATCTTTATTTAAATGAGATCACTAGATTACAAGGATTTCATTTTCATTATTTCCGATACCATCAATTATTTAATACTATACGCCTGAGGGCCTCTTGTAAGATAATTATATTGATTGTCAAGCTCGCTTCTTTGGGAGTTTCGAGAATGGATAAAAAAAATGTGCCATTTCTTTAGGTAGAAATCCCATATTTTCCACCTTCGGTTTATCAGCCAAATATTTAAACAATCGTTAGATGATATCGATACATGAAAAACCCGCATATAACTTAACATTTACTTTTATTTCTATTCATTAAATTAACCCATTACAAAGTCTTTCAAAAGAGAAATTAAAAATTGTTCTTGATTGTATTCAGAATGAAAATAATACATGGTAAACCCGAGAGAAAATTATAATTACAATAATTAAAATTTGAGCCAAATTTTAGTGTGGAGTAAATACATCTAAAAACGAAGGCATATGAGCAGGTGGTGGTACTGTCGGATTTTGCGAATTTTTTACTGAAGCATTATCACTAATTGTCCCAGAGTGTATTGAAGCTTTGTCTATTTTATCTGGTATGCCGCCCATCCCCGCTGAGGATGATCCTCCTTTATCTTCAGATTCAATTATCGATGATGACGAGTTTATTTGATTAGCATGTTGCAATGCAATTTGCTTTAATCTTTCAGCGGCCTCTGGACCACTGCCTGTAATTAATTGATAGAAGAATCCATCGGGATTATCCAATAGTCGTAGTGGAGTATCGAATTCGACTACTCGACCTTCATTTAAACATAAAATACGTTCTGCTTCCATAATTGTATTCTGTAAAAGAAATTTAAAATTAGATCTAGTTTGATAAAAATATTAAATAACAAATAAATAATTTATACCAATCGATGTGCGATGGTGAGTACTGTATGGTTTGCAAAATTCTTTTTTATCGTCTCCTGAATTAGATGATCTGTTTGCGAATCTACAGCACTCGTAGCCTCATCAAGAACCAATATGTTCGTCTTTTTGAGTAAAGCTCGAGCTATACAAAATAATTGTCGTTGACCAAAAGAAAAGTTTCTTCCGTTTTCTAATACAGGCGTGTCCAATTTCTCTGGCATTGATTTAACTTTTTCAGTAAGATGAACAGCATCTAAACTTTCCCATATCTCTTCATCTGTACAAATTTCAAAAGGATCGAGATTCGATCTTATTGTTCCGGCAAAGATTACTGGCTCTATTTTTTAATAATTCAATACTTGTTAGATGTCTTAAGAAACTTTCCAATTACCACAAAAGTATAAATTTAAATACCTTGAGGAATAATTGCAATTTTATTCCGGAGATCACGAAGTCCAATCGTACTTATATCTAAACCATCAATTAAAATTTGTCCCCCAGCGAGTTCAACGATTCGCAATAGACTGACCAGCAATGTTGATTTTCCTATCATATATCATTTTGATCATTAGAAGAGAAAAGACCAGAACACCAATTCAATAATTCTTTACCTGATCCGGTCTTTCCAACGATACCGATCTTTTCGCGTGCTTTTACGTGGAAAGTCACATGTTTAAGAACGGCCACGCCATAAGCATTATATCGTAAAGTAACTTGTTTAAATTCAATCTATTTATTGATTGCATTAGAAAGCCATCTGGATATAATCAAAGAATGAAGAGGAGAATAAATATTTATACCTCTCCGCGGCTACCCCAATTTTTCGGTGGTCTGTTATTCTCGATAATTGCGGCACTCTATTTAATTATCAATAAATAACGAATAAGCCATTATCGCTATTACTATAATTATAATCACTATAATTACCTCTGTTGGTATATTTTGTCTATAATACAATAACTGTTGTACACTACTCATTGTTATTGCGGCATCACGACCATATCTTATCATCCATTGTCCAAATATTAACAATTGTAGTGCACTGACTAACGCCAAACCAGTGTCTGAGGCACCAATTGATTTCAGAATAACGACACATAATGCGGTTGAATAAATAAATAAGGAAGCCAGGAAATCGATATAAAGTGCTAACCAAGACTTTACTATTAAAGAAAAACAAAAGGAATTAGGAGTCGAGAAAAGAGTATTTAATCAATAAATTATTAATTGACTAATGGAATAATCATCACCTTGCATCATAGTAAATAAGGTTTTACTGTTTGCGTCAATTTTATCCAGATTTTGTCTATCAAACCGAAATTGTGCGTCATATACACGGATGCTAGCAAGGCCATCAAGGGTAGCCGATAAATGAGCAAAGATCTGTGACTTTGTCATCGCTTTTATTTGACCACAAATAGAACTGGTAGTTAATTAAGATGATTATTTTAAACAAATAAAAAATGTTTTCGATTAAGTTGGATTAATTTACCATCGAGAAGTTTAAATCTTTCTTCAACTTCATATGAAAAATAGATTAAAGCCCAACAAACTAAAGCCAAAACGACAGCTGGCACTATAGTATATGGAATCAACACCACAACAAAGATGGTAGTCCCAAGAACTACCGGCAAATATGACAAAAACTAAACATAAAATAATTATTGAACAAGAATATTATATGCTAAATGAATCTCAGATTATAAATATATTTATTTAGCTACCTGTAAAGCATTATCCGTTAGAACTTCATCAACAAAAATTTGATGTTTAGCAAAAATAGCTAGAATTCTTCCGATAGGCGTGACATCAAAATACGACATTGGTGCACGTAGTGTTTTCATAAAGGTGCGGTCATGAAGATAATGACTTTTGAAAAATACAACCCATGCAAAGGCTAAACCTCGTATAAAAACGCCTAAACCCGCAATCCCCTATATACAGTTTTTTTTTAAGAAATCGTAAAAGATATTATAAAACAAAATTGTTAAGATAATTACCACTAGAGCACCATAAACTCCAAGAAAATGTCCATATGATTTATTCGTTACGCCAACTGATTTTCTAAGCCACCAATCTAATAAGAAAAAACCGAAGATACCATTATATGACTTCAAAGAGACAAGAGATGTATAACAAAAAAATTACTAACCACTAAATAATTTTACACCTTGAACAAGGAAAAAGAAAAATATAACAATAAATGAACCCCAGAAACCGGTGTATTTATTTAAATATTCCAAATAAACTTTCCAATCAACTTCTCCTTCATTGGGCTTTTTTGTGCGAGAATCAGAATTCATAAATGCTATTCCATCGCGCTCATTTAAACTATGAATTGTCAGTTGATTCCTTTCGATGGCTTTGGCAGTTGCATTTATTTCACGATTTATTTTATTTCCCATCATTCTTGTCCTGCCAGCGCCACCAAGCACAGTAAGATTACGATGTTCAATAATTGTGGATATTGTGAGTTCATTAATATTAGTATTTTGTATTGTATGAGCATTGAGATCAATAATTCTCGATATTGTTTGCTCATTAGCATCAGTAAAACCAGTAGGCCTCTTTGAACCAAATTGAATTGTGTTGTGTCTAGCAATCTTTGCAGTTTTCTTAACCTCCCCTGTAAAAGCATCATCATTTTCGTTTACAACAACAGCTTCTAATCCATTATCCTCATCATCTTCATCTACTGGATCAAGACGAATTTCACTAATAAGTTCATCTATTTGATCCGGATCTTCTATTTCCATATATTCACCAATCAAAGAGGCCAGATTCACATCTTTGGCAATCAATTCTTCATAGGTCCCTTGTTCATCACAACTTCCATCTTTCATAACCATAATGAAATCACAATCAGAGAGAAACTATTTTTTTTAGATAACTATTAATACTATTAACAATATGATAATGAATTATGGATTTGAGACAAACCTGCAATTGATTGGTAACATAAACCACTGCTTTATCCTAACAGCGGAAATATGCAAAATGCTTATTAGATGAAAGATATTAATGTTATTACAAAAAAATATATATTGCCATGTTCATACTTTTAAGTATTTTCGGATACACTCATGAAATATATGCTTAGCTACAACAGGATCCATGGCACTAACAAAAAAATAAAAATTAGAAATTATAATATCTTCTAACATAATGCTAATAAAGAAAAACCAAACCTAAGTGGATCATCCAATAAAACGATATCAGCATCAGAATAAACAGCTCTTGCCAAACTAACCCTTTGTCTTTGGCCTAAACTTAAATTAACACCTCTTTCACCAATTTCAGTCTGATCACCAAAACTTAATAATGGTAAATCCCGATTGACGCCACATACATGTAAAACCTCTTGGTATCTTTTGGAATCAAAATTATTACCAAATAGTATATTTTCTTTTAATGTAGCGTTCAACAGCCAAGCGTCATGTGGTACGTAGGATATTGAACCACGAATACGACGAGTGCCAGCCGATAAACGGATCTGACCGAATATCGCAGCCAAAACTGAAGATTTTCCAGCACCTACGTCTCCAACAATAGCAACTACTTCGCCTTGTTTCACTCGCATTTTCAGAAAATTTAGAGACGGATCCAGCTGTTCATCATATATGAAATCAGCATCATCAATTACAATTCGAAGCTTCGGATCATCATCTAATATATCATTTTCTCGTTTAAGAGGTTCCAATTCGGTTTGTAAGAGAAATTCATTCAACTTATCAAAAGAATCCTGAGCGCCTTTATTAATATAATTTTCGTTATCACAATGACATTCATATGAAATTGCAATAATTAATGAATAAGTTGATAATATCTAATTTGATTTTATTAAATTTTTGCTTACCTAAAATACTCCTCACTGCTATTGGAAACATAATTAGAGGATATCTATTAGTAGACAGTGAATATAATATATTCATAACATTATATATGTCGTTATTAATGCTAATGTGATAGATAAACAGAGGCTGTGTATTGTATTGTATTATATTGTAATTATACAATTATGATAGACTTTACCTCAAAATATTAAACAAAGCTAACGTTGTGAAGATTGTTCTTGCTTTTATCCCATTAGCGTCTGGATAAGCCAAATCTTTGACTAATAGGCACCCCAACATTACCAACATCGGAGTGAAAAATACTACACATAACGTCCAAACTTTAAAGATTAAACTCGTCAGCAATTGAGACATTTCTTTTTTACGTTCATTAGCAATTCGTTCACGAAAGTAGGATTCCCAAGCGTAAAATTTTATCAATTTAATTGCTGTTAAAATTTCAGACATAATATTTATACGCGACATGGTGACTTTGGCCATTGAACTGGCGAATTTAGATGTTAACCAGCCGAGTTTGTACTGGGTTGGAATAAGAATCATGAGGATTACCAAAGCTATATAATCATTATTATAATAATAAGTTTTTAATTAAAGTATGGTTTAAGACATTTACTGACATAAAAATAACCTGGTTATACCTGGAACAGCAGATACGCCTAACTCAATCCAGGCAAGAATAATGATTGCTGAGAAATGTGTGTGTACACAATTTAAATTAATCCAATAGATCCAATAAAAACTTATTAAAGCAAGAATTGTTATTAAAGATCCTATATCTACCAATTATTTCAACTACTGAACTCCATAAGAAATGAAAATTAACACAAGCTTCGGCCACCCTATTAATTAAATATTGCTAGCCATTTAAATATGAATGTTATATAAAATAAGTCGTTCTAATCTTATTTTATTACCTATTGCAGTCATGAGAGATCAAATTCACTAGATGATAAAAAAACGGGAATCGATCAGACAGACAGATAAACAGTAGTCGTTTATTTATTTAACAATTAAAAAGATTATCTACGCACCAATATCGGCATTGCCACGAACAGAGCTAAGCCTTAAAGATTTACGATATATTAGTACCATTAGTGCAGCTCGAACCTATAAATAAATTATTTTTATAAACCTATCTCAATTAAAAGTATCTTTATAAAATATTATGTATATAAGCTTACTTGCACTCCAATTCGAGTGCATTCAGAAATTAGTTGGTTGTAAAAGATGCTACTAAAGGCTGAAGTTAAGAATAATCCTATAGCATATAAATATCCAGATGAATTATCATTCTCATGGCCATTAGCATCACGTTTCTCGATATAGATAATCAATTGGTTCACAAGATAGTATGAGCCGACAAAGATGGACGCTGCCCATAAGATTTTGTAAAGACCGAGCAGCGCATATGAAAAGCCAAATGTTTTAATCAGAGCATGCCGTATTGAACGTTCTTTTCTATGGACGCAAGTTTTTGGTATTTTAGAATAAGATTGTAAACAACAAAAACTTATTATGTCCTACTGAAAAATTTCCTGTAGAAGATCGCGAGCATCTATGCGCTAGTTACCGGCGATCTATACCGAGGGTTTTCAAGTATGGAGGTTCTGAGTCAATTTAGAAAAGACAAGGAAATGAGGAGACGAGACACACCTATCACGTTCCTCGTTCCAGGCGTTCTCTAATTTATTTCCAACAACACCAGCTTTTTCAGATTCTTGTAAAAGTAAGTCGTCACTGTCTAAGTTGTGTCTTCTTGAAACTTTCAAAAGACCAAATACCCAAAGAAATAACCAAGAGGAAAGAAAGTTGATTCGATTAGAACCATATAATGTTACTTGAGGTTGGGATTTCGGGAGATTTGAGGTTTGAGGTGGCATCGATGTTATTGGATTCTTGGTAAGTTTACGAGGGTATCTAAAAAATCACATACATTTCCATTTCACAAATTTTGATCATATTAATTTGTGATCTGTATGTTGTTGATCTTTTTTTAGTCATATGGGTCAACAATGCGACATCAATTTCTTAATATCACACCACTCAAAATTGATAGTGTGTTAAGAAAGTCATTGGACAATTTCACGTGAAAATAATTTTATAACGACTGCATCAAATCACATGATTAACTGCTTGTTACAAAGACAAAAGACGAAGAATTATTTATAATGAATTTAATATGGGATACGTTCCCATTTTTTTCGATTATGAGCTACACTTTCATTTTTTTTAGTTTGAAAATGTTATAGTATACCGTAGACCTCGGAAGGCCTGTTCGTTTGCATATTTTTTTTGCGTCTTGTATCCCTTTGTCCCACAATTGTTGAATAGCCTTTGCGGATATATCTTCTTTAACACACATTCGTTTGGTATTAAAAAAAGGTGAAGTTCGTAATGCTAATCAAAAATGAAAAGTTACACAAATCAAAATTCGTCACATGAAATTTGTCCAAAGACTTTCTTAACACTTCTACATGACACCAGTATTATGATCCGAATGCAAATGTTGTCTTGATATTAATGTTTAATCTTTATCTCCCAAATAGTTTTTCAATAATTGTACATTTTCTTAAATATGATTATTGAATTGTATTTCATGTAAATGTATTTGTTTGAATTTTTCTTGTATTTTTATAACATTTAATATTTGATCTCATATTATTATGATCAAGTTAATTTTGTAAGTCAATATTCTTGTATCTTGATTATTAGTGAGTTTTTTTATATCTTTTCATTTGGTAAGGATCTTTTTTTCAGTAATTTCATTAAATAATACTTTTATTTAGATTCTCTATTATTAATATGTGAATAAGATATTTATATAAATATTTAACAAATTTATAATATTATAAAAATAATCATCTTTATATTTATATATTTTTTAAAATTAAGCACTTTTCTTTTTGATTATTATAAATAAATTTCATTAATATATATATATATACAGTGGCTTCTCTCTATTATTAACTCCATGTGATCAAATGATTTGATTGATATATAAAAGGATTAATAATCAAGAGAACTAGGATTAGGATTAGAGTTAGGATTAAAAATAACTTGATTAATTAATCTAATACTTGAATTATTGATTATTTATTGATTGAATAAAAAACTATATATTGGATATTAAATATTAATAAATTTATTACATGTCACTCAAAGACTTTATTTAATTTCTAAAATAAATTTTATTTATTATTTTATCAGTCTAAAATAGATTTTTATCTTATATTTTATTCCTGATCTAAATAGATCTCATTACTAAAAATTACTTTATATTTTCTTTATTTTGATCTGAATCTCAAACTTAAAAAAATTAATTAATTATTTTTGTTACTTCATCTTAATTAGTTCTTCTTAAATATATTATAATAAATTTTATAATCTTGATAAGTTTAACTTCTATATAAATATTATTGAATTTTGTTATTTGATATATTATAAAAGTAATTTATATTACTTTAATATAATAATATAAAAAATCTTCTCAACTTTAATATCACTATCTGTATTATTTTCAGAACTAAATAATTAGAAAATTTCTTTGATAATGATTTTTTTATTAATAATAACTTTTTTTATCTGAAGTAAATTATTAAAATTAATATAATTATCAGTTATTATTACTTATATATAATTAATAAAAATGCTAAAAATAAGTTTTTGAATATTTATTTCAAGTCTTGTATTTACTTTATTATATATATCTAAATTTAACTAATCTTATTTATTTATTAATATTATATAAGTTTTCTATTAGCAGTTAATAATTATTAAAAAAGTTATATTTTTTTATATTTCTATAGTAAAATTAATTACTTTCTTAATATTTAGATAAAATTTTTTTTAATATTTATCATTTTTAAAATATACTAAAAATATAATTTTTAATAGAAAGTTTAAAGAAGTTAATTATATTAGTATTATATAATTATAAATAAATAATTATATTAGATAACAGAAAATAAATTTTGATATATTCTAATTTCTTTCTAACTATATAAAAGATAATATTATTTACTAAAAATAAAATTTATCTATAATTTTATCAGAAAATATTATTAAGAAATTTATCTAATACTTAAAAATATCATTTTTTATTCAAGTTTTTTTATTTACTTCATATTTAATATCAAGATTTTTCTTTGAGATATTCTTGAAATATCATAATTTTGTTAACTTCTTAATAATTAATAAATTAAGCTTATTTATATCAGTTATATTTATATAAAGCAAAATAATAATTCATTTTTTATCTTTTTTTTCTTTAATAATCTGTATTATAAATATTTAATTAAATATTATTCAGAAAAAAAACTAGTTTATTAATATTATAAATATTTTTTAACTTATATTATCTGAATAATTTGACTAATTTTTATTTATATCTGAAAAAAAACTTGATTAAAATACTTTCTAATTTTTTTTAAATCTTGAATTATTAAATATTATATTATTTTTTAAATTTATCAAGCTAATTATTACTTATTTTAAAGTTATTTTTCAAAATATTTAATAATTTTACAAATTTTTTTATTTAAAATTATATAAATTTATTAGTTAAAATTATATTTTTTAAAAGAATCTATTATAGTTAAAGTTATTTCTAATTCTTTAAATTTAATTAATTAATTAGTCTTTTTTTTGCTTAGTTATTTCTAATTCTTTAAATTTAACTAATTAATTAGTCTTTTTTTTTGCTTAAAATTATATTAATTATATTAATAATTATTTTTATTTTCAAAATCTTTAAAATTATATTTTTATTATAATTATATCTTTTAAAAAGTTAATTGATAATGAGACTTGAATTTACTTAATTTTATTAATATATTTTTTACTTGAATTTTAAGATTAATTATATTTATTTTTTTATAGTTACTTTATCTTTTTATTTATATTATATATAATTAATAATAATAATAAAAACTATAAGATAATAATAATAATAATAATAATAAAGATTATAAAATAATAATAATAATAAAGATAATAATAATTATAATAAATATAAATTTATATTATTAGAAATATTAATTAATAATAATAATCAGAAAAAAAAGTATAATTTATATTACTTAAGATAGTAAATATTATAAAAATATAAAAAAAAATATATTATATTATCAAAGATAAATTAATATATTATTATAAGACAGATTTATATTATATAAGAAAAATAAAAATATAAATACTAGAATATTTTGTAACTTACTGATTATTGAAGTAAAAAAAATAAAAATTTATAGTATTAATAAAAAAGAAATATAAAAACTATATTACTATATAAAGATTAATATATAAATAAAAAAGATTAATAATTATATAAGATTATTAAAAGAATTTTTAATAATATTATAAGAATAAATAAGATAATAAAATAATTAATATTATTTATTAAATAAAAAAATAAAATAATTTTTGAATAATAAAAAATTTTCATATAAAAGTTAATATTTAAAAAAATATATTAATTAAAAATAATAATTTAAAAACTAAATTTATTAATAAAATATAGTAAAAATTAAATTTTCTCTCTATATTAAAATTTATAATTTTATTAAGAAATAATTTTTATATTAAAATAAAATTTATTGATTATAATTTAATATATTTTTTTTAGATTTTTTAGATTATTTTTAAAAGAATTATTCTAATTATAAAATTAATATAAAAATTTTTATTAATTAAAAATAAAATAAAATTTAATTAATAAAAATTTTTATATTAACTTTATAATTAAAGTAACTCTTTCAGAAAAAATCTAAAAAATCTAAAAAAAATATATATTAAACTATAATTAATAAACTTTATTTTAATATAAAAATAAAAATTTTTCTTAATAAAATTATAAATTTTAATATAGAAAGAAAATTTTAATTTTTATTATATTTTATTAATAAATTTAATCTTTAAATTATTATTTTTAATTATTATAAAACTTAAATTTATATTAATAATAATATTAAAAAGAAATAATATTAAAAGTTAATATCTAAAAGAAAATATATATAAAATTTAGAATTAAAGTTAATATTATTAATAGAAAAATAAAGTTATATTATAAAATCCATGATGATGTATTTCTATCTGTATTCTAGAATAGCTAAAGATTGTAATAATCCTGAAAGTTATTAATTATTACTTTTATTACGCTAACATAATTCACAACTGATAATATATTTGTAAATATTTTTATTCATTTTTGATCAATAGAACTATTAAGAGACTGCTACATATGTTTTGTCAATTCTAATATGTTCAGCTATTGGTGCATCATAAAATTCAAACAAGATTTTTGCTTTCAAATTTTTGTCATCTGATATGACTAAGTAACTGATATTCTTCAAGTAAAGTAATTCATCTTTCAATTCAAAGTTCTTTATTTTAGTTTGTTGCTTTGGATTGATGTTGCTAAAGTTCTTCAAGACTTCATATATTTCTACAAAATATTTGTCTGCTTGATACTTTTTGATCAAGTCTTCTTTATCAATAAGATTAGTGATAATAACTAAAATATTTATCAGATATGATTGATATGAAAATGCATCTGCTACTATATTATCTTTGTCAGGTTTATATTTAACTTTAAAATTACTAGCCTATAAAATTTCTAACTAGCGAGCCTGTCTCTTTGAAAGATTATATTATATTTTAATGTATTTCAAAGAGATATGATCTGTAATTACTGTGAACTTTTATCCTTCTAAATATGGCTTTCAGAGTTTAATTGCATGTATAATTGCAAGTAGTTCTTTTTCATAAACTGGATAATTTTGTTCAGCTAGTGAAAGTTTTCTTGATTCAAAAGCTATTAATTGATTACTCTTGTCTTAATTTTGGCTTAATATAGTTCTTATAGTAAAATTTGAAGTATTTG